AATTTTGTCTGACTGAGAAATTGCCATTGTGCAATTGGTTCACCATCATAGCTAACAATAGAGCTCTAAATACAATATGTAATGGGATGGGAGAATAACCTTGAGGAACAGGAGGAAGAGCCACAGCAAAGACAATGGTCGGAAAAGAGAAATCTGAGTCCAAAAGCAGGAATAGAATTTGAGAAAACATTTCAGACTTGTCCCTTCCTAGTTTCCTTTAGAATAAAGGGGGGGGGGGGAGGCACATTCAGATTTGCAAGATTCTGTTACTGCAACCCTATAATAAAAGTACTTTTAGTCTTCATAACTTTGGGGTCCAAATCCGGTCTACCTCAAAGGACTGACATCAGTCTTGCAAATCCATACTGTCTTTCTAGAGTGACAGAAGATCCCAGTTTGCCTTCTAGAGATGGTCTCCAGAGATGGCCTCCAATCCCCAGGGTACACCTCTATCTGCTGAGCGCCTCACTGCAGCATTGTTGCAACACCAGCAGCAAGTGGACGTACAGATAATCAGTTTACAAAATGCCATGATATGGGGCAGTTCCACTGGGCAAACAAGATTCAAGAGAATGCAGAATTAAGAATCTGAAAGGAACATTTGGCTTAAAAACAGAGGACAGTCAACATTTGCTGAGCACAAGGGCCAGAAAATGGACCTGGAGAAAATCAGCCACTTGCCATGATATACAAGATCTTTCCCCAGAACTATTAGCAAGGCAACTGAAATGTCTAAGCATTTACATAACGTATAAATGGAGAAGTAATGTCAACTGTTCTCTGAATGGCAGTTAGCTATTGGTTGTGGGGATATTGCTCCACTGAAGACAGACAGTACATGAGGATGTGACAACCGTTGGCAAGCTCAGTTGCTCTGAAGAAACTAGCAGCACAGCTAGCAACATGTCAGGATAGGTTCATTGTCTCACATCACCCAGAAGTCATTTCACCAAGGGATCCCTTAATATTTCCTATTAAAAAAAATATAGACCCTCTATTCCACTTTATAAGAAGCGGAAAGGTGGTGTAACCTAGACATTAACTCAAAAATAAGGGCACAGCTGGACTTTGCTGGAAGATCTGTTTTATCAAGACTCTACAGCAGGGGGTAAATAAGTTCCCAATATAGTTGTCGAGATAACCGTCTCTTGTCAAGTGTGGAGGCTTCTACAGTCGCAAGAACTATGGAGGGCATCTAGTTCAGACTTGCCCATTGTAGACATGTTGCAATTTACAGCATCCCTGACAGATTTTGATTTAATATTTCCAGCAAAGAAAAGCCATTACCTCCTCTGACAATCTGTGTCACTGCCAAAAGGGAGAACAACCATGCTTCTTTCCCCCCATAATGATCAACTGAAATCTGATGCCTTGCCTTCTCTCTGAAAAGAACTCTGCTCCAGTGTCTACATGTCTTGCCCACACGACGTGCCTTCAGATAGTCAAAGATACCTATTCGTTGCCTCTTCATCTTCTCTTTTCATTGTGAAGCACATCCAGCCCTTTCAATCATTTCTCATCAATTAAACTCCAGATCTCATAGTACAGGGCAGAAGTGTGGAGAAGTTATTTCTCATGAACTAAACCCCCAGTTTCTGTTAATTTGGAGCTAGCTAGCTTGGTCAGTTGGTACCCGCTTAGGACTTAGGTGGACGTCTATGAAGACATTTCAGAGCTGAAGGCTAGACTGTGAAGTCAAGAAAATGTATCAGAAAGTGGTGGTAAAGCACTTCTATATTATTGCCATGAGAATTATTCCATGTTTGACACAAGGGCGTCCTGATCTTTTAAAGACTGCATTTTTATCAGTCACATCACATTCTTGGCTTATCATGCTGGTGTTTACCTAGGAATCAATCATGACATCTAGGTCCTTTTCATGCAGCCTTCTGCCAAGCCAGGTTTAACCCATAACACACTGGTGTAACATGGCTTTGGACTGAAACAAAGATTTAAGCACTGCTCAGTTATCTGCAGATATTTGTGGTCCTGAGAGAGGATGTTCATATCTGCAATTATAATTGGATTTGTACATCCTATGCTGGCAAGTCTGAAGGGGCTTACCAATTAATTTGAAAAAAAGCCCCACATTAAAATACATAGAAATGCTGGTAAAAACACCACTTTTATTACAATGATGAAATATGATTTTGGCCTTAATGAGGACTTGATTAACTCTGCCCTTCCCTTGTGCCCAAAGCTGGAAGGCTATTTGGCGATAAGAAACCCCCCACTGCTTAAGAGATGAGAGCGATGGGTATATGCTAAGAAGCAAAGTGGTCAGTGGCTTTCACAGCAGGGTTTTGATAGGATAAAGCATTCTACAGAGTGTCAGATGAGGATCCACGGGCTGGGCTGGGTTGGAGGGAGATAAGAAAACCAAGAGTGAATGCAGAAGCTGTCTGTAACTTTTAGTCAGCTTTGGGATTGCAATTAGGAAAGTAATATTACATTTCATGTGCAAGACTATGTAAAGGAGGAGAACTTCGTGAGGAATGTCAAATGGGAGATTATGGAAAGAGGATTTAAACTAGGCTCTGAGCAAGGGATGAGCCATGTGCAACTCACTAGATGCAATTTGCAGCTTTCTAAGATTGAGATCCTGGAGAAGACACCAAGTATGAGGAGGCTTAGATCACAGGGGCCTCATTTTGAGCTATCCTGGCTTGAAGATCTCATCTCCTATTATCCGATAACGACATTTCAGAGGATGACTTGTTCATGGTTTCTGCAGTTTCTCATCTACACTTTGGGCACTTCAGAATGGGCCAGGGGATTTGAAGCAAAGATGACCAGCAAGCAGTAGTAGAACTCAAGTATGTCTGACCCTCAAAGCTTCCATCACAACAGAAAGGTGCTGAAACAGCAGCTCTCTTCCTGAGACATACTGTATATTTCCTGACGTGAGCTGTCCACGGTCCTGATAGTATCTTACCGTGTCTCGACTAAGCTTTATTCCTGCTTCCTTCACTCTAAAAGTATTGAACACAGAGTGGGCTTCTTTGGAGACCTCAGGTAGAAATGAGAGGAACTCCCATCATTCCATAACACTGGCCATGCTTTTTAGAGCTGAGAAGAGTTAAAACTACAACAGGAATGGAATTACAATGATCTCTATTTGAAAATAAATTGGCCAAATTGCACCAGATTCCCTTCTCATGTAGGGAGTCACGGGAGTTGGGCGGCATATAAGTTTAATAAGTTCTTCTCCTTCTTCTTCTTCTTCTTCTTCTTCTTCTTCTTCTTCTTCTTCTTCTTCTTCTTCTTCTT